TATATATATATATATATATATATATATATATATATATATATATATGTGTGTGTGTGTGTGTGTGTGTGTGTGTGTGTTTTTCATGGTTTCTGTTACCTATTTTGTCGTAAAAAAAGAACAGTGTCATGTATTAGATGTTTCAAATAAGTAAATGTCTCGACAGTCATTCATAATTTGTCATCCACCAATGAACACAACATTCGTTCATTAAGTAGTGTTCCGTGAAATCATATCCCAAGAGAAATAAAACCAGAAAGAAAAAACACTTCCATATTTAAGACGAGATTGGAAACACGTAGTGGCAACAACAGCGTAGAAAACAATCATGAGAGCGTTAGAGACAGAACTTTACGAAGCTATGTACGTCGTAACACAGGAGACGAACGACTACATGTGAACAGACATCGTCGCTTCATGCTCTCTTCGTCTCCTCCGCCCGGCTTCTTGCGGCCTGCGCCGCCTCGCCCACCCTCCGCTTCGCATTCTCCATCTGCTCCGGCGCCTTCTGCACCATCCCTCTCGCTTGCTTCAGCAGGTACCAGATCGACGACAACCCGGTCAACCCCAACGCGCCCGACGTCAGCACCCCCGCCACCGTCAGCGCCACCAGGAGCGCCGCCGGCACCAGCACCGGGCTGAACAGCAGCAACAGCGGCGTCAGCAGGGCGAGCCCTATCACCGAGCCGAGGAGCGTGAGCCCGGCGAGGGCGAGGAGGCCGCCACCGAGGGGAAGCAGTGTGGCCACCGCGAGGGCTTGGGAGGCCGAGGGCTCCTTCTCCGGGAGGAGGTCCCTCATGGCTTCGATCGTGTGGCGCTCGCGCGCGCGGTCACGGTCGCCCATCGTTTGTGCAGGTGACGACGATAGATGGAGGTGGAGCGAGCACGTACGTCTGGTAAGGGGAAGCTCATAAAGGAGGAGAAGGGGTTGACACGTGTGGATAGGCTGACGCGTGGGGGGCAGAAGTGAGGAGGTGAGGGCTTGCATGGGTTACAGTTTGACGCACACGTCTGTTGACATGCACAGAAATCAAATGCACTATTCAACAGCTTCGATCGATTTCAAGCATCGAAGAAATAATTGTTTTGATGATTAATTAAGGAACGAAATCATGCGACCCACCCATTGATGAATCAAAGCTTTCAACAAGAATGCAGCTCTGATGATTTAGTTTGATGATGTGGGTGGCTGTCTCAGTGCAGACCACACCAATCTGGTTAGTCTGATCCGTGCTAGCAATTCATCCTGCCCAATCTCTTCATCTCCTCTTTCTCGTATTATCTAAAACCATTATGTTTAGCTTTCTATAATAAACAAACAAGAGAATATATATTTTTTTACATATGATTACTGACAGTATGTGTATGTGCGTATATATATATATATATAGAGAGAGAGAGAGGGAATCAGCACAGCTTGGTTCAGTCCCGGGTACATAAGATCATCCACGTCGGTACTCGGATGGCGAGGACTGTCGTCTGGTGCGATCGAGCTTGGGCTCTGACTTCAAAGTTTAGAAACTCCCCTTGGCTGACCACGTGTCTCTCTATCACCGGTCCCTACACAGGTCGGGGTCGGGAAGGGGACTCTCGATTTTGACCCCTCCAAAGATTTGGTTAGAATCGGGTGAAAAATGAGCCAAAGACCACTTGTTGCCGGTCCGACAATGAGTTTTTATCCCTTCACCAAGGGACTAGCTGTACCTGTCGTATTTATGATTGTCGTCCCTTCGGACAACGATCTTCCTCTTGGGGCGGATGTTGGGCATCTTCGGCGTTGTGCAGTGGTATTGTATTCGGTGTCGTCCTGACCTTTACGGGACGACACTATACTTGGTCAACGTGTCTCGATCTTTGTAGGACGGTGCTATACTAGGTTGGTGCCGACTTGATCTTTGCGGGACGGCGCTATACTTGATGGACGCTAATCCGGTCTTTGCGGGACGATGCTGTACTCGGTCGGTATCATCCAAATCTTTACGGGACGGCGTTGTACTCAGTCGGCACCGTCTGACTTTTGCGGAACGATGTTGACTAAGGGGTTTGGTCTAGTATGTTGATCTTTACGTTGATGTGATTGTAAATAGTGATTGAAGGTAGGTTACCAAAATATGTGTAGAGATCCAAAATATGGAGGACAGAGAGAGGTTTGGATCTTAATTGTTAACTGTCTTAGCACTTGTGCACGCCATTATTATAGTGTAGTGTAAAGCATGTTAAAGCAAAGCGTGCACCCCTTGACATCATTCATTTTCGACTTTTTGCCACAGGGATGTCTATGCTTTTTCCTCATGGATGCTAATGTGTCGCAAAAATTAGATCCACCTTTACGAGAGGAATACAAATGAACTGTGCCTTCTTTTAAGGTAGAAAGGCAAGTGATTCACAAATCAATGCACCAAATTGAGAGGCTCCTCGTGGATGCATTGTAAGTGTGAGGTAATTAAGGAGGCAAACTGACTTGTCTTTTCAGATTTGGGATAGCTTTTTTTACTGTAATTTGCTGAAAGACTTGGAGGGCAAAAAAAAAAATTGAAGACTTCAAATAAAGAGCACAATTTGAAGTCAGTCTTTCGTATGCGTCCCCAGAAATTTTTTGTTACATTCTTAGATAATTTCATTTTGTTTTCGTTACATTCTTTCGTATGCATCCCCAAAAATTTTTAGGAAAATGATCAATCGAACATGATCCGAATTTATATACATAAAATTGTCTGAGATACTGATGTAAAAAACATTAAACTCCTAATATATTACATGCATAAGAATCAAGATCAAAAAAAAAATTTCGATCTGATATTTTTGACACTCAAATTAAAAGAAATCCTTCTGTTAAATATAAGCTTTTATATTTGATAGTAAAAAATATGAAAAAAAATATACTATTGTATTTCTCTTCATAAATAGCAAAGAGGAAAATCATGAATAAGGAAGGAAGTTTTTTTTTTTTTTATCATAAATGATAAAAAAAAACTTAAATTTATCCTCTCTAGTTAGATAGCATATAATAATGATATATCGAATGAGTAGTCATCAGTATATCCCTTATCGTTAATCTATCAACTCAAAAATTATTGATTTAATTATTTTATAAAATCGATGAGTTTTGTTTTCAATCTTCAACGTACTGTTGAAATTTGAGATCGGAATTGTTCTTAAAAGAGAAAAGATATATGTATGTTTGATCTCTCTGTAGTTCTCAAGGAACAGAGATGGATGACCAATTTGGGTGCATGGAAAGACGCGTCTCCATCCCCTAACGCGATCCCAATTGGTCACATCTCCCTCGGACACAGAGTTCCCAATCAAAGCACAATGGATGAGACTGCAGCCCATCTCCCATGGAACAGTAGTGTCTTTTCCAGTCAGACTGACTACCTTCTCCCACTGCAAGTGTTTGTTTGTGCGAGGAAGACAAGCCCTAAGATTCAGCAACAGATGCTACTGTATCCTTCGACAAGGCTGCCAACTCCGGCAACGCTGGCTTTAACCCCACATGTCCGTAAAAGGAGTTATCATTCACGCCATGTTCGTCTGCCTCCTCCTCCATACTTGATCTTCAAGTCATCACATACGCACGCACTCTCTCTCTCCTTCCTCCCTTTAATACCTATGGCGTGCTCTTTAAACAATGATCTCTGCCCATAATGACTCGTAGTGAAACCTAAACAACTAGAAAAGGATCATAAAAGGGATGTCGACACATTCTTCAAGTCCTTCAAAGAAGAGAATGATCGCATTCTGAGAGACCGTGCATTCGTTTGCGGTCAACACATGGTTAGCGTAGGGGTACACGACACTTACATGAGGTGAATGATGACTACTTATGTTGCCGGTCCCAACTAATGCACCCTTACCCTTCTTCACCTATCGAACTGCATGCCTTCCCGCCAATAAAGCCACCTCTCCACTGCACGCATCGGCATACGCATCCCATCCCACCGTTCTGCCTCCACCAGAAATGGCAAACCAGCACGTAGGAGAGGAGCAGGAAGCTCTTTTCCACTCCTCCCCATGCGCCCTTTACTACGTGCAGAGCCCTTCCGCTGCCTCCCACACCAACAGCCACCCGGCATCCGAGTCGGCCCTCCTCTCCCCCTTCACCCAGGAGAGCTTCCCCAACAACAGGAACCGCGACGAGGTGTCCCGCTTCACCCTCTCCCGCTACTCCTCCTCCCGCGGCTCCAACAACTCCTTCCTCCAGGAGAAGAAGGCCGGCTACGAGAGCCGCGTGAAGAAGGGGGAGCGTCAGCGCCTTCGCATCGTCGGCGTGAATGACGGTGAGGAGGACGGGGAGGGCACGCGAAGTGGCATGTGGAGGTTTGTTTCGCTCGACCCATCCTCCTCCTGCTGCTGTGTCGCGTTCCAGGTGACATGGAGGCTCATGTTCAGTGTGGGTTTCGCCTTTCTCGTGTTCTTCTTGGCCACGAAACCCCCACAACCCAACGTTTCTTTCAAGGTATTCGATCTATACACCCATGATGCAGCGCGGATCAGTCTGGGTTTACATGGATCGTCTTCTTGCCTTCAGATAACATCAGTCGAACAATTCAGCCTCAGAGAAGGCCTGGACAACACAGGTGTCGTGACCAAGATCTTGACCTGCAACTGCTCCATGGAGATGGCGGTGGACAACTACTCGAAGGTCTTCGGCTTGCACGTCCGGCCCTCCGCCATGGAGATGGCCTTCGAGCACATGAAGTTTGCAAGCTCACTGGTAAGTTTGCCGCCTGCCATGCATCCAAGGAACCACGGGTTCTGACCTCTCTTCTTCCCTTCTCGCTGTCCACACTGCAGAGCGATGGATCATACATCGATACCGACGCTTCATCGGCACTGACTCTATACTTGGGCACCAAGAACAAGCCGATGTACGGGGCCGGGCGAAGCATGCAAGACATGCTCGAGTCAGGGCGAGGCCTGACACTGGTCGTTCGGGTCAGATCAAGATCGTGCTACCGGGTCATCGGAAACTTGGTTCGATCGAGTTATCGTCACGACGCGGAGTGTCAACTGGTCCTACGCGGCGCGTATGATGAGGGGGGTCACACCGTAATCTACAACAGCACCTGTTTCATCTCCACTGCTCATGCGTGATGATGATGATGATGATGAGATCATTTTTTGTGTGAAACGTTACGAATATATGTTTGTTCAGATGCAATACGCCTACTATAATTGCAAACATGTTTTATTCTCCCACACCTATATAATTAAATGAACAGAAAATAAGGCCAAAATTGTATAATGGCCTTAAGGATCTAATTCACCAAATAAGTGCAAGGCTTTAAGAACCAGAATAGGTCAGTTGAGCTCCCTTTGTGTGTGTCAGCAGCAACAGATAAACTGCTGCAGTGTTCATCAGTTACTGGTAATAATGCCTTCTTCTCCTCTCTGTTCTGCTCCGCCTCCTGAAACATCGCCCTCACCTAATCAAGCATTTTTTAGATGGAAGGAACGCAATCTAATAGATACTCGACGGAGAGGTTGTGATCGCATACCAGAGTTGCTGATTTAGAAGGTTTGCTGAGAGGAGATCTGCCATTGGCAGTGGCCTTTGGGTTCCTTGTACCGCGACTTGACGGGGAAGGGAACCGCTGCGGCGTGGGAGGAGACGCTCTTACTTCCTTCACCGCTATCGGTTTCTCGATCTCAATCCTCACTGCCATTTTGCTGCTTTTCTTTGTTGATGATGAGTCATCTTTCCTGCAGACAATTTTACGAGCTCAATTCTTTCTGAATCCGTGGAAAACCGAGTGCAGATACTTATGTACGATTACTTTGGGGTCAGTGGCATTCTATCCTCTGCTTCTGAGTTGTGAACGATGTTGGCGACCTTCTTCTTGACTTGCTTCTTGGAATCTTGTTCAGCTGGAGGAGTCCTCCCGCGTCCGACCGCTATCTTCTTGAGCTCGTGGCAGAACTCGGAGATCTGGCTCAAGATGTCCTTCCCGGATAACAGATTCCTGGCGGACAGTGTGCTCCTCAGCCGCGGCTGGGCCTTCTTCTGCTCCTGTACCTGGCTTTCCTTCTCAGCCTTCTGCTGGGCGCTCGACTTGATCATCTCTTTCACGGTGTTCCGCGCCTTGGGAGCACCAAATGGGCGGCTGGGACGTGGCGGCGTCGAACGATTCGGGTTTTGGTTCTCAAGATCTTCCCTGATTTGTTTCGTCGCGGCAGATTTGGTCTTGAGGGGAGAGGCTTGGAGGAGCGGGGCCGCGATCCCTGCTCTTCTCTTCAGGTTGTTCTCGTTTCTGAAACAGAAAGGGACGGAGGAGAGGAAGCCGGCGTCACTCCAACAGCATCTAAAGGAACCAGAAACAAAGAATCCACAGCCAATTCATTACCCGTGAACGCTGTTCCTCTCGCCGAGAGGCAGTCTCTCCGAGCTCGACCGCATCAATTTCGCCTAGTTTCGTTCCAATCAACCAAGCAAATTTCAAGGAACAATCAGATCAGAGCAACCAAAGAAAAAGGAAGAAAGAAGAATAGGAGGCTATGATTCGGACCTTGGGGCTCGGCGCTGCCGCAAGCTTGAAATCTTTGGCGGTCTTCGGATGCTTACAGTCTAGAAAGGAGGGAAGAAGGAAAGAAAGAAAGAGAGAGTTCAAGAATCGCAGGTTATTGAGAGAGCGACGGAGAGGCGATGGAGCAGGGGGCGTACCGGGTCGGCAGAACCAGGCGTCGTCGTCGACAGGGGATGCCTCGGGGCCGGTGAGATCGAGCCATTTGGGGGCGTTGATGTTCTCGTAGGCCTCGTCGCGCACGTACCTTGACTCGATGTTCTTCCAGTCGATGTCGGCGGGCTCCATCCCTCGCCGTTCCACGGGAGGAACGAATGGGGAAAGAGAAGCAGAGACCGGAAAGGGAAGCCACAGAACTCGAGACACCAGAGAGGGAGAGCGGGGTTTGTTGAGGAGGGGGTTTTGGTTAACCAAATCGATTCCGCGGAACGTTACGCCCCGTGTTAATTTTTCGACCGTTGGGGAATGGGTCCCGCCCTAGGTTTTATTGTGTTAATTATTTAGCGGAGCATCTGGGATCCTCTCGTCACCTCCCTTCATTGTTGATATAACTTGCATCACATGTAACATGTAATTGTTGGAAACTAGAAAATTAGGACCTTCATGGTGAAGAAGAAGAATGCAGATGAAAATTCCAGAGTTTGATTTGATTGCATAATGAGGTAAAGTGGTCAAAATTATTAACCTGCATCACCCAAACTCAAACACAATGAGCTTTTACTTGGGAGAATAAGAAGGCAAATAATTCATCATTCATTCACACGACAATCAGCTAATCCTGACCAAATGATTGTAACAATTTTTACCTGTTCGGAATCTACAACTGTGTTTGTGCTTCCTACTGTGCATCACAAATACTAAGTACAACTGTGGAATCAATCAAGTTTGCTGTCTGATATGTCTGACACTGAAATCGAAAATTAAGGAAAACAAAGCAGCTTCCGGAGTAATTGGCTAAACACATCTTGAACGTTATATGCTAATCAGAAATCACTGGAGCTTTGGTTCCTCACATCGTACCTCGGCAAGGCAAATTGGGCATACCTACAAATTAAACAAAGAACTACTCAGCAATAGTGCAGAAAAAATTTCAACAATACCTTCATTGAATGATAAGAGTAGTTTCGGCTACCTTCTTGATACCAAGCCATCTTGTGACACAGGTGGAATGGTAGACATGCTTGCATGGAAGAATTATTTGTCGATCCCCTCTCTTATATTCCTTCTGGCAAATGACACACCTGGAACCAGAAAAATTGTAATTTTAACAGGACGAAACCAAGATAGCAAAAATGTTTCAATTTTCAATCATTGTATGGCACACATATATTGTGTATATACGTCCACGAGACTGGTATAAGTTCACGTCATTGATGTGTTGACTGACAGAAGTCAAATGGCCAATGAACATTTTATACAAATTGTCGGAATCTCTGTATTGTTCAGAAATTGCATACTCTAAACTGATTGAGCCCAACAACATTATTTCGATGATGATCATGATGCTATTTATGCTGTGAAGGAAAGCAATATATATGCTTGATAGTCTGAGGCCCATGAGGATGAGGGTTTACCTCTCACGTTGTGATTTCTTTCTAGAAAAGAAGCTACACTTGTACTTTGTGACAGGAAGTGAAGCAATACATTCTTGAGTAAGACCACGACTTTGTGTTCCAACTGTCTCACCCAACTCCAGTAATTCCTGTATGTAAAAGTAGAAGTCAATTTCAAATTTATATCCGTGGGTGACAAAAATGATTATGGAGTATTAGTTGGTGGTTTAAGGATTCATCAGTCAAGTACCACACATTTATATAGACCATATTGATAGTGTCAACATACCATGCAGGTCCAGTCCAAGCATGGAATACCATATCGACCAGTATTTGAAAATTGGAACCTCAGTGGTCAATGCATTGCAAGAGTATATTTTGAATTTTTTGTTAGTCATTTTGAAAGGCTATATATATAACATTTTTTTCTGCTGAAATCTGATAAATTCATTTCTTCAGAGTCAAGTGACATTAGTTGAGCTAAATATTCATTTAGTCTTAAGATAAAATTCACTTGTGTCATGCTTTCCTTTTTATTTTGTCAACTTATGTTCCTCAATAGTGAGTAACAACTGATTGAACTAATGTGGTAACATACTTTATGACTCTCTATTTTCTGCTGATTTTTCCATCTATTATGTTTCTGTTTGTTACCAACAATACTCTTTCAATTAAAAAGTGCTTTGTATAAAGAAACGAAGTTTACATCTTTTGTTTTTTTTTCATGGAGTGCACAAAAGATGGTTATGAAATTGTCTTCACAATTCTGACTCTTTAGTTTCAAGTTTTCTTACTGGTTTGTGCCTAAAAGTTACTATATTGTGGAGTCATTTCAGCATACTACTATTGTTGAAAATTCCCTTGGAAAATGGTTGACAAACATTTTCTTTTGTTATTCTGCTTCTATCTTAAGTTGCCTATGCTTTATCATCAACTCTTCATGTCATACAAGAAACAGTTTCCTTGCAAAATAAAGAAGAAAATTATGAATTTGTTAATTTTCCCAATTTTACTTCACCCATCTATGTTCCAAATGGCACACCTTAGACCATCAGCAAGATGTTCATTTTAGAAGTATCTGATTTCAAAAAGATCGCTTTCTCATGATAAAACACAACTTTTCCTACAAATAAATTGTGTTGATGTAATTGCAACATGGCACCAACAGTAGGCAGCAAGTAACAGCAATGACATGGAGTGCTTTGTGGGAAATAAGCTGTAACAAAAATATTTTCATTATACAAAATTAACCAATTTGCTCCATATAAATTTATGAAATAATAAAATTTGCCATCAATTTATGTATTAAATATTTGCTATTGCTAGTGGACCGCGCTGATGATATTTCCCATCCAGGTTTCTTTGTTCCACACAACCAACTTTTACCAGAGTCTAGACAAAATTAAAATCTTCTCCATCCTTCAAAAAGAGTTTACCTAACTAAACCTTATAAAATCTCTAATGATGTGATTGCTATCAATAGAACTTCTCACATACACAGATACTTTATGTTTTCTATCATTAGTACATTCAATGATTCCAATTAGTTGCAAAACTGCCAGACTATAAGATGTATGGTGTTGGGTGGAAGCTGGCTAATCCCAATATCCTATAAAAGCACAGTCCCTTCTAGTGTTTGTTATGAATTTGATTATTTTGTGCATTTAATTTTTAATGAGAAAACAGAGCAATAAATCCCCCAGGGAAATTTTAAATAATAATATCAGATGACATATCTGAATGAGCTTGTTATTATTTCACTGAATCCAGAATCAAGTATTTAACCAGTCAAATTGAGCATGAATGTCAAGAACCTAGTTAACATCCTAACATGGTACATCAAATCTATGTGAAATGGTCCGAGGATAAATAACAGACCTCGTACGTCATGTTATCAGGATCAACATTGTCTTGCCAAATGACCTGTAACCATGTAAAAGGAAGAATTAGCAATCTGAGATACACAATTGAAGCTAATAAGTGAAAATTTATTTCTTGCATAGGCGATTCGGAAATCATATTTATTCTTACTTATCAGTCATATTAGAATTTCTCAAGTGTCTAATTCAGTTTATATTTAACATTGAATTTTCATATATCTTTATTCTCATATTATATGATATTTATTGATGAAACAAAGAAATTTCTACAATATTCTTTTTTTTTTGTCACTCTAATCTCTCTTCCAAATTTTAATATATCTTCCAGTTCCCCTCTTCATCTATACTTTTTGTTTGATGAATATAATGAATCTAGACATATTAAAGGAGCTTCCAAAGTAATTCATCAAACCAAGTAGGAATTTCCTGCAACTAAGTACTTAGATGACTATCAAAAGACTAAAATGAACTTCTCAATTTTATTACCAAAGGTCAAAGTACATGCAACTATCAGGTTAATGATCAACAATCTGAACAGAATCGTGTCCCTTGACTGAATAAGAAATCCAATATGGAAAACCAAGCATGAAATGTTGCTAAAGCACCACCACAAGCATAGAAATAGAATAGGACATCTTTTTATTGGGAGATTAACACTTTGTTTTAATTTATACTGCTTGTATGTCACATCAAAAAATCCTGGAATCTGTTTATGATGTAAAAGAATGTGCACACACGGCTATAGGAACAAAGAATTGGTTGCAAGTTTTAATCACAATACACGTGGAAGAACTTCACACCTGAGAACCACTGACATTCTGTTGCACTTGAATGCCTGCATGAATATAAATAAAATTAATTTGTTGACATCATAAACCAGAAACTGGTAAAGTTAATTAGACAAATGACTCGAAAGTGATAATTGTATTATCTAACATACAAAGATTGTCGATTGACTACTATGAAAATAATGTATACTATATTTAACAAAAGTTTCAGAATTCGCTTTGATTGGACTAATGGTTCTCTAGTTTCCTTTCGTATAACTTGAAATTATCAAAATTATAATCATACATAAGGAAGAAAGTTTGCCGAAGATTAACATACAATTGTTGGATAGTTGTCTATGTACTTAAATTTCCCAGATAAGAACATCAATGGAATGTACATGTAACAGAGAGTGATGCCTGATTGAGGTAATTTAATCTCCATTATCACACCTCAACAAACAAACTATTATACCACTAAATCACAAAGCAGAAGGTTTTTTCTTTGAAATAGAGGAACCTATCCTGAACAAACAAATTATCAAGCAGTTAATCCAGAGGCATTAAACAAACAAATATATAGATATCTTTCAAACCAAGTGATTGTATATCATCCATGATTGGTGTTTCAACAAATTTTCCAGTAGAACACTAGATACATATGGGAAACATGATGAACTGAAAATTTACTTACATTCCTCGGTTCTAGGAGTTCTATTTGCATGAGCAAATTCATTGCTTTGCTGGGTCTGCTGTGGCAAGCCTAAGTTGTTCAAAGCTGCAGGGTTGTCCCATGCTCTCCTTCCTCCATCCAATCTTTGTGTATAATCATAGATATCAAAAGTGTGACCAAAATCATAATATGAATTATTAGAAGATCCAGAGAATCCATATTTGTATGGGTGCATCGTTGACCAGTATGTGTTTCCCTGCGATATTAATCACACATATATTTACTCAAAATGACTCAAGGATGAATATATATTATGATGCAGAGTTAAATTCTTCTTGGACACTAGCAAACATAAGTTACTAAAAACATGCATAGAAAGGCGATAATATAGTAGTAGTCTTGTGTTTTCACTAGAAACCAATACTTACTGATTTGTTCTGACAAAAAAATAAAGAAAAAGTTCTCATCTTGCTTAGAAATCAAGTGTAAAACGACATTGCCTTGAAGGATGCAAATAGGAAAAGCACAAGTTTCTTATATTTTGTTAGGTACACTTGGGTAGAAGTCACATAAAATGCTTACTAGTGAATCTGAAAAATCAGCAGAAATAGCTTGCTGCTTGGTATTAAGGAACTTGATCGTTACTTAATCAAACCGATCGACTGATCATGATATCGGCAATATTAAAATGTCCATATTTTAAACAGTTAGCAGAAGCATGAGTAATATTCATGTTACAAGATACTGGAAATAAATACACAACATTGTTCAAGCTACCTGGTCATGAATAGCTTCTGCAAGGACGGCATCAGCCTGAGCATAAGTGAGGCCTTCAAACAAATCCATCAAGCTTTCCGTAACAGTGTAAGGAAATCCAGTATTTATATAATGAACCTCCATCTGTCTGTTACCATCCATTTCTGTTAGAGCAAATCCTGCCAAGCGACAATCATCAAATTTTAACCACAAAGATCTGAAAACAAAAAGAACTACACAAAACAGGAACTAACATAAAAAAAGAATTGCTAAAGAAAGAAAATACAATTAACACGAACTGCAGATATGAAAAAATAGCTAATGAAAAGAAATGCAATCAAGGCCAACTGCTTATTTAAAGAGTATAATCAGGAAATAATAAAGTGTTCCTTTCTCGACAGGATTCAGGGTCGATCCAATTTGCCAGAAGATCGGGTAAAGGGCAAATCGTAACAGCGCATGCAAACCCAAGTTGCCCAACCTTGTCGCCTAATTCGTCAACGTGGCAAGTCATACTCCAACCAAGATTGAGATGGATTTTACATTTCAAAGATGTGCTTAGATTAAAAAGAAGAAAAAATTGGAATTGAGGTGAATTCGTTCGGTCAAATTGCTGAAATATGACAACTTTCCTCCGAGAGGCCCATTGTCCAGCTAAAATCTAACCTGTTGAAGTTGGTACCAACAATGAATCACCCACATGTGGCATCAAACTATAAACATCATCCCTTGTCAGAGATCAAGAAAAGCATGGATAAGCACACGATCTAGTGGGTATCAGAGTATCACGACATGATCTTTAAGAAAAGCACAAAGATCGCCGGAGTCCTGAACGGGAAGCGAGCCTCCGCACCTCATTCGAACGCGATCGAGCAGGCTGCTTCGGCCTCCAGCGGAGGTCGAGGAACCGATCAACGCCGGCGAGAGGATCGCAGGTCGTGTGGCTGAAACAACAATGGCGGTCGACTTAGAGGAAGATATGTTGTTGCGGGTGGGGGACGAGAAAGAGAGAGCGAGGGGGTTGGCCGGTCGTTGCGTGTTCGTTCACCCTCTTTATACACTCCCATCTCTCACTTCCCCTCTCCTCCTCGCTGCTTTTGTTTTCTTCCTACAAGCTTTCTTCATATCCATATCATTGTTGACGCTTTTACATATACACCCTTACAAAATTAATAAATACCATAAATGTCCCTATAAATTTTTATATTCATTAAAAAAATCATACCAATCACTACTAAAATTATCAAAAACTATTATAAATTATCATTTTTTTGTCATTAAATTACACAGAAAGCGTCGTCCCCAATTTGGTGGTTGTATCACTTACAACCATAATAACCAAACTTAATTGGCAGCATTCAACGACTATGAGGAGAAAACATTGGTTTACCGGCACCTAAATTGATCCACACCCAAATCGATGATGTGAGTCATCCAGGGATGGGACCCACGCACGCTGGAGTCGCTGCCCGGCCTTGGGACTCTTTTCCCTTGTTTTCGCCGAAAGGAGAGAACAGTGGTGGTGGTGGGTGGGGGCACGCATTCATCTCCCTTTGGCCGAGCGTGAAAGAGAGCATTGAATCAGGAGACATAGTAACGTGACGTGATGCTCTTTTACCAGTAACTTTATGTTCTCTGTGGGTCAGATCGATTGCTTGCTTGCTGTCGCCGATCCGCCGAAACCACGTTAAACGCAATGCCAAAGAGAAGGTGACAGTTTAATTAGTTGGATAACCATTGAGATCAATAGCTTTGCTTCACGTACGAGAGAGTGTGTGGTTGAGTGCCGGTCGCCAAATCTTGCCCACCTCGCACCCGTAAAGTAAGCTTTAATTCCGGTCACGACTCCATTATATCTGTCGTTAAGAGAAAGCTACAGTAGCTCGCAGAGGAGTACCGTTGTTGGTGGTGTGCTGGAGAAGCGGGGCAGCCTCCTCAACAAGCAAAGCAGCTTTCTTGGGTGGAGTGACAAAGAGAGAGAAGGGGAATCCAATGGTTGCTGAAAGGATGCTGAGCTTAAAGTGTGTACACAAGTGATTAGTACGAGTCTTCCACCTACAAGCCTTTCGCTTGAGATTTAGGTGGTAGAATGATGATGTCTTGTGACCGGCATCCTCATTCAATCATGCATGGGGGATTCTGGGATGAGATTGTACATGTCCAGCAAATATTAATAATGGATCATTGGAATGAATGCTTGGCTTCAATGCTTCCCAGCTCAGAATGGGCTCCTCCACCGCACCAAAACAGTGCATGCTTTAGGCATGGCTACCTAACCCTCTCGGCGTGCCTCATCGCCTATACAAACCAAACCAGATCACCACCCCACCGCAACGCGTACAACCATGAGACCCCTTGTACCTCTTCTCTTTCTCCTCCTCTCCGCCGTCGTCTCTACCTCTCACGCTCTCGCTTCCGCCCCGTCTTCCCGGAAGGCTCTCGGTGGCTGGACCCCCATCAAGAACACCGACGACCCCCACGTCCGCGAGATCGCCGAGTTCGCCGTCGCCGAGCACAACAAGCAGGCGAATGCCAGTCTCGCCTTGAGCAAGGTGGTGAAGGGCGAGACGCAGGTGGTGGCCGGGACGAACTACCGCCTGGTGCTGCAGGTGAAAGATGCAAGCGGCGCGCGTGTGAAGTACCAGGCGGTGGTGTGGGAGAAGCCATGGGAGAACTTCCGCCAGCTCACCTCCTTCAAGCTGGTCAAGAGCTAATTACGACGTGCAGCAGGGTTTGTGTTCGTCATGGAAGCTTGCATTGTGTACCTTAACTGCGTCTTCTTCTCACTATTACAACGATAGTCTTATGCTTAAACGAGTCTTTTCGTGGGACCAATATTGAATCTGAGAAGAACTGTTCATGGTTGTGGTTTGTGAGAAAGGATAAGATCACGAGGGATGAGTTGTAGTCCTCTTCTGCGTGATGGAGATCCGTGACAGAGCATGGCCAGCTCTCTGCAGAAAGCATATGTTCCATCATATGCAGATGATGCTGGGATTCATATGCCCCTGCTTGCGGCTGGGCCCTGTGAGCCGGAACAAAGGGATGCCCACCGTCTGCCTCTGCTCTACTTTGTTGCTAGAAGCTACCAGCTTTATCCAGTAACACTGATTTTTTGGATAATAGTCTAAGCTAAAAATATGTTAGGGCAATACTAAGGTAGGGTTAGTATAAATTACATATTTCTCTGTTATATATATATATATATATATATATACAGTTAGTTAGTTAGTTAGTTAGTTAGTTATACCTTAATACCATGATTTTTATAGGTTTGATTAAACTTTTTTGAAGTAAATTCATCATCCTTATTAATCAAAAATCATTTTTTTTATTAATTAAAACCAACTAAAATAATTTTTTTGTCAATTATTATGATGTAAGAAAATTTTTTATCATAAAATTTTATCATTAAAAATTATTTTCATCAAATCTATGTAATAAAGGATGTCTAAAAGTATAACAAATTTATTATTTATATATTTAATTTTTTATTTTCAATTTAGATGATCTTTTTATTTGTCCAATGTTTTTCTTTTTCTATCAATCATCAGAAAGAATATGATTAATTTGAAGGTGTTAGCTACTCTAATTGGTAAAGATTTTGAAAGGTTATCGTAAAATCTTTTAAAAGAAAAAATCATGATCACTTTTGATTGTTCATCTCCTATTATCTTTTTATAGTGTAGTTAGTGTATCTTCCTTGCATTTGAAACTCATCATATCCCAGTATATCTCCTTTGATTATTGTCCTAATTAGCAATATTAAGAATCAAGCCCACTGTTAGGACTAAACTCATCGTATCGGAAAATTACTTTAAAATGTTAAGGATTTGCATTGGTTAAGAACGAAGGATATTTTTAAACATAAATAATATTATTTTGATTTTGATGAATTCATGCAGTAGAATAGTCTTTAGAGTAGTGTAAATATAAATTATCATTTTTTTATGTGACTTAACATTGGGGCGATTCAATCCATTGATAAATGGTGCCCCATTTGCCGGAAATGGAGCCCACTCTCGAGACTCACACGCATCGGTCAAACCGTGGGCGACACGTCACACGTAGATATATTAGAATAACCGCGAAGTCTCTGTCGGCATTTAGCGGCCGCATTTGGATTCGAACTCGGCCGCGTACGAGCGCCAATGAAGTTGGTTCACGTGCGTGCGGCGTTGCTGCTTTAAATGCGCCCACAAATGCCCACGTCTCCGCGCACAGTTACATCCATCGATCGCCATGAGATCCCTTCTTCCTCTTCTTCTCTGTTCCCTTCTGGCCTCCACCGTCTTCGCCACCTCCCACGTTCTGGATCCCCCTCTTAAGGGGCTCGACGGCGGATGGACGGCGATCGAGGACCTCAAGGACCCCCACGTCCGCGAGATCGCCGAGTTCGCCGTCTCCGAGAACAACAAGCTGGAGAAGACCAACCTCACGCTGAGGAAGGTGGAGGGGGGCGAGACCCAGGTGGTGGCCGGGACGAACTACCGGCTCGTGTTGGAGGTGAGAGATGGTAGCGGCGCGTCGGCGAGGTACGAGGCGGTGGTTTGGGAGAAACCATGGGAGAGCTTCAAGCAGCTCGCGTCCTTCCACAAACTGGTGAGCAGCAGATCTGTGCATGAAGCTTTTTGCATCGTTATTTCCTTTATGTCACTGATAGCTTCGAGTCAACAGACAAGGAGAAGTGCACCAATCTGATCTCACATCCCACGCAGTCAAAAGTCAACACTCCTGAGACAAAAACTCGACTCATCTCTGATTCCTTATATGATTTCATCTATCCCAATTTCTTAGTCGACCTCTCTCTGCCTAATATGTGACGTTTGTCTTCTCATCCTCACTCCCCCTTTGTCTCTTCTCACAAAGGTGATCGTCGGCGGCTGGACCCCGATCAAGAACATCAGCGACCCCGACGTCGGTGAGATTGCAGAGTTCGCCGTCGCCGAGCACAACCATGAGGCCGGGACCAATCTTACTCTGTGCAAGGTGGTTAAAGGCGAGACCCAGGTGGTGGCGGGGATCAACTACAAGCTGGTGATCGAGGCCAAAGACGGCGGTGTCGGCGTGGTGTCAGAGTACGAGGCGGTAGTTTGGGAGAAGACATGGGAGCACTTCAGGAGGCTCACGTCCTTCAAGCTGCTTGAGGCCCACTAAGTTCACATGAGAAGGTTGCGTCATGTCGTCGCGCGCTTATGCTGCTAATGCGACTAATAAGATCGATTAGTCTCAGAAAAGAAACACTAGCTGTAGTTGGGAGCTTTTCCTCGATGCCTTTGAGCATCTTCCTGAAGGGGGTTTTCCAGCATATTGGCAATGGCTCTTCGACTTATATCCTCTCGACGTTTTGCAATGTTGAGACGCTTAATGATCTTATTGTGGATTCTGCTTGGAATGTGTCTTTCAGGAAAATAACCTTCCTCCCTCGTCTTCACTGTCAATTCTCTCAATAATCTGCAGATCCTCTCCTATCCTTGATGGAGCCCCTCACCAGCTAAGAAAGCGTGAACCTCATTATTCACCTCAACTGAACTATATGCTGGTGTTTTCCTTAACCCTCTGTCCATCATCAGTTTCTTAACCCCCACCATTTGATCCCACTTCCCATCAAAAGCATAGATATTCGAGAGAAGGTTATAGTATCCAGCATGCTCGGCCTCTTGTTTTAGTAGGATCCGTGCTGCCATCTCTCCCATGTCGATGTCGTGGTGGATTGCACAACCAGCAAGCAATGCACACCAAACGTGAGGGTCAACAGGGCCTGGCATGCGTTCAATGAGCCTGAAGGCTTCTTCCAACTCTCCAGTTCGCCCGAGGAGATCAACCATGATACCACAATGCTCTGAAGTAGGTGTGACCCCGTAAACATGGCTCATGCTATCAAATATCCTTCTCCCTTGCTCAACCAAACCAGCATGGCTGCAGGCAGACAATAACGTCATGAATGTGACAGCACTGGGTGTAATCGATGACTGAATCATACGCTCAAACGTCGCAATTGCCTTCGTTCCAAGACCGTGCATTCCATATGCAGCTATCATAGAACTCCAGAGCACCGCATCCTTCTCACTCACTGTTTCGAACACTTGGACAGCATTACCCAAGCTGCCAGACTTGGAGTACAAATCTACAAGCGCTGCACCAACGAAGACCTTATTGTCGAAACCACTTTTGATCAAGTAGCAATGGAGACAAACAGCTTGGCGTAGAACTCCCAACAGCGAACTTGCTGTCAGGACCTTCACCATTGTGACGGCATCAGGATTAGGTCCATCCGATAACATGTCCTGGAACACTTTCAGTGCCTCATTGGCCATACCATTTTGGGCATAGCCACCTATGACAGCAGCCCACGAGACCACATCTTTCTTCGGCATTCCATTGAAGGTATCTATTGCTTCGGTATAACATGAACACTTCATGTACATGTCAACAAGAGCAGTGGAAACAACCAGCTCTGAGTCGTATCCTCTTTGAGTTGCATACTCATGAACTTTTCTTCCTTCACCAAGATCGAGAGCCAGCGTGCACGCTCGAAGCACGCTAACCAAAGTGATGGAATTGGGTTCTACTCCTACCTCGATCATGCTCTTGTAAACATCCAGAGCTTCCACGGCATTCCCGTTTTGAGAATAACATGAAATCATACAACTCCATGTGATGACATCTCTCTCGGGCATCATGTCGAACAGCTTCCTCGTCATTCTAATCTCGCCCAACTTTGCGTACATGTTCAAGACGGAATTCGCCAGCGACAAGGCATATTGGAAGCCCATTCGAACCAAAAACCCATGGCAAGATTTCCCAGACCGAAGATCCCCCAATTGCCCGATTGCAGAAACCACGCTGATCAGGGTGACAGGAACAGGAGCCACACCTTCTCCCACCAGCATCCTGGAAAAGAACGATACAGCCTCTTCAGCGTTGCCATTCTGCTGATATCCGGTGATCACTGAAGTCCGAAGCACGACGTCCGGATCAGGAAACCCGTCTAACACTGCGACAGCGTCGCCCATCTCCCCACACCTGGAATACATCTCCACAAGAGATGAACCGACGAACAAATCAGAGCAGGCCTGTTGCATCTTGACCACGAGGCCATGGATGGCTTGGCCTTGCCGGAGTGCTGAAAGTCCGGCACACGCTCTGAGCACAATAGACAACGTGAAGTTGTCGGGGCGGTCAGACAAGGACGTCACCGCGGTCATGCGGCGGAAGAGGTGGAGCGTCTGTGGCAACTGACGAGCACCGAGGTGGGCTCGCAGCACGGCGTTGTATAGGTAAGTGTTTGGGTGAGGGATTTCGTCGAAAATCTTGCGGGCGTCTTGGACGTGACGGAGTTTCGAGTACGCAGAGGCGAGACGGGTGGCGAAGAAGCAGTCTGCGGCGGCGAGAAGACCGGAGCGCAGGAGGAGGGAGTGGAGCTGAGCTATGGAGTTGGCCTCAATGCAGGATGCAAATAGGTTGGACAGGCATTCCCTGCTTCTCATGTCTCTTCTACCGAAGCAGCCTTCACGAGTTACCCCTCTCTCTCTCTCTCTCTATATATATATATATATATATATATTCAAAGGAGATAAAACTTCGATTAACTCAGAGTATGGTACAACATACGCCTTATTATTCAGTAAAGACTTAGAATTAGATTTAACCTGATAGAATAATTAATTTATCAATTTTATGGAGACTGAATTAATATGTTTAAAATTAAATTTTAAATAATAAATCTATCAGACATAAATAAATTTTTATTTTTATTTCCTTATGATGTGGGATTAAATTGAAGTATTATATTTTGAAAAAGCATATAATAATGTTAGTACTAAGCCAAGGTGGTTATTAAGAATTAATTCAACATTAATAGCGATCATATATCAAATTGGAGGATTACAAAGTAATAATTTACTAAGTTAATTATTTTATCAATATTGAGTGATCGATCTTATTTAACATCCTCTATATTATAATTTGGTAAAGAAGATCTTTATGTATTAGTCAATAGGAAAAATTATTATAGTTAAATTTTTTTTTTCTCTTTATATATTAAAATAAGTTTCTCATCAAAATACTAACGTGTTACCAAAAATAAATATTAACCAGTATAAACAATAGAACAATAAATCAATAGACATCGAATTTTTTTATATGAAAAACTTAATACGAAAAATACCATGAAACCGTAGTCCACTTCAAACTTCTATTATCACCAATAATAATAACATGTTTATAATAAATCTTCTCCAGAATAACTAAAGGATCACAATAACATATATATCTTGGCTCAACAATAACATATCATCATCACCATAAATGGATTTCATAAAAGAAAAAATTTATGTCTTACCAAATGGGTAAAATAGAAAAAGATCTTAGAGAGGATAAACTGCATATCGACACCGTTATGATTGTAGAGCTTGTTGTAACAATACTTCACATAAAATTTGGGCTAAAATTGACGAAGTTTAGCCACTTGATCGTTTAACAAAATGTTTCAAAATCTAACTTTTTCTGCATTGCTATAGTTTTCATTGTTCCAATGCCTCTCTCTCACGCATGTTTCTATTTTTTTTTCTTAATAAATTAGATTTGGGCTCAATACCCAAATCAACGATCCGAGCTCACCTACAGGTTGGACTCAATAATTCTCCCTCTCCAGCTCATATGGTGAGCAGTATTAAGCCCACTCTTCACCTACCTACTTCAAGTTTCTCCTTAGATAAATATTTGGATAACATGCCTAATTCATTTTCATTGGTATGCACCTTTTCTAAGTGTAATTCTTGGAGAGGTGAATGACACTAAATATCATAGTAAATAATATATCCTTCCTGTTTCAAACTCAATTCTTATAGAAATTCTTTCACCCACAAAGCTTATAGGTTTCAATAATTATTATGTATTCTATTTCTGTGGTTGATAGAGTAATATAATTATGTAACTTATATTGTCAAGAGATTGCTCCCCTTACAAACGTCATCAAGAACTCTAAAGTGGACTTCTTGGAATTAGTATCACCTGCTATGTCTGTATTTGTGTACCCCTCTAATACAGGTTCACCACTTTTAAAATATAAATACAACCTGGAAGTACCTCTTAGATATCTTAATATTTATTTCACTATTGTCAAATATTTTTTACCAAGATTAGAGAGAAATCGATTGACAACTCCAACTGCATGAGCTATATCTAACTTAGGACAAACCATAGCATATATCAAACTACCTATCGTAGATGAGTAAGATACTTTGAACATTTCTTCTTTTTCTTTCTCACTTGTAAGATATTATTTCGAGCTAAGCTTGAAATGACCTACAAGTTGAGAACAAATTATTTTAGCTTTACTTATATTAAATCTTTCAAGAACTTTTTCAATATAGATATCTTGAGATCGTAAAATCTTTCCATTCTTTCTATCACGAAGAATCTTCATATCAAGTATTTGTTTTGTTGATACTAAGTCTTTCATGATAAAAAATTACTTAGATCTCTTTTAAGCTTCTCAATTTTACTAGCATCATAATCAATCATCAACATATCATCAATATATAGTAGGAGAATAATAAAATCATCATATAAAAACTTCCTTGTAAACAAATAATGATTAGATGTGGTTTTATTTTTTCTTTGGCTCATCACGAAGGAATCAAACTTCTTATACCTGAGTGCTTGTTTGAGTCCATATAAGTTTTTTTTTCTAAGCTTACATACTAGATTTTCTTTTCCTTTGACTTTAAAATATTTTGGTTGCTAAATGTAAATTTTTTCTTCTAAGTCACAATAAAAAAATATAGCTTTCACATCAACTTACTCAAATTCTAAGTTCAAGCGGGCAATCAAACCAAGAACAACTCGGATAGAGGATACTTTCGCCACAGAAGAAAATATTTCTTCAAAATCAATACCTTTCTTCTGACTGAATCCTTTCACAATTAATCGTGCCTTGTATCTTTGTTGTGAGCTATTATTTTTTATTTTCAATTTATAAACTCATTTATTCTTGAGAGTTTTTTTTCCTTTAAATAACTTTACTAAGTAATATGTGTGATTCTTAAACAAAGATCTCATATTTTCTTATGGCTTTAACCCACTTATTCTTGTGCTTATATAGAATAGCCTCTTAGTAAATATCTAGCTCTCCTTTGTCAGTAAACATAACATACTCATGTAGAAGATATCTTGTAGATGGTTGTCGCTTTCTTATAAATCTTCTTAATGGAATCTCAATTGGTGGTGGAGGTGCTTATTCAAATTATTCAGTTGGTTCAACATTATCAACTGTAAAAGCATCATCACTGATATTCTCACAACAATCTCTCCTATGATCATTATGAACTATAGATGGAAGGATTGGACCAAACTCTAAAGAATATA